TTTTTGTTGGACTTTAATTGTCAGGAAAGCTGGATCCTAGAGTGTGATATGATGGAACCTAGTGGTGCTGGCCCACAGCATTTCATTAAGGATGCTATGATTTCTAAAACAACATGAGATCCTTTGAAAAATCCAGTTCTAAGTTATTGTTGCTTTCTAACAAGTTCTTCTTGAGATTAATTGCTGCTAGTAAATTAACTTTTTCCTCAACACCATGTTCAATATTTCTCATCATTTACTTAAATGGTCTGAGAAGGCATTAACATTGCTACGTGGAATTCACACACACCTCAAGCATAACTTGAAACAGGTCAAGCACTCCAGAGAATGAACAAGTAAAATTTTTCTTTTTTTTTGGATATGTTTAGAACAGGTGGACCAAAAGAACAAATATTACTTTTTTTTGTCATCCATTGCAGAAATATTCAGACTTTAATATTAAGGGATTAAGGTTAAACACTAGTGAAATATCCTAAGTAATATAAAATATATAGAAGAATCTTGCTTTTTCTTAACTTTTGCAGTTTTAGTGCCAAAAAGGAAATCATATGTGAATGGCTGGATTCTATTTAATACTTTTGCTTTTCCAGTTTATTGAAAGAAAAGACAGAACAGAGTCTTTCAGAGTCTCAGCAAAGTCTTGCTAAGAAAAAATATGAATTACAACTTACCCAAGAAAAAATTATGCTTTTGGATGAAAAAATTGGTGAGTGTCAGATGCAATTGTTTTAATAAGATTATTTAAACTAATTGCTGTGTGTGTGTACATATATATATATATATATGTTTTTTTTCTTTCACTTCTTGTGGGCTGAATAAAAATGTGCTCTGTGGAAAAAAAAAAGCGGAATATATGCTGTATATTATGCTCCTGCATGACAGAGAGATAGGTGATTTGACTTTGGTTGTTTTATCTCCTGAAAGGGGTTAATAAGTATCATTTGATAAGCCTAATTACACTGAAGTCTTTACATTTTTTTTAAGAGATGATTAATTTTATTTTAAAAGTCATGCTTATTTTTGTATGAAATTCAGTGGAATCAGTTTCTGGAAAAACAGGAAAGCATCAGGATAGCCATCTCTAAATATTCATGTCAGTCATTACAGGATGAGATTTATATGTTGCTACTGGCTCTTGCAAATCTGTTCATTAAATCCTTTGTTGTTATAACACCCGAGAAAATTGTTTTTAATAATGTGAACATTTGTTGTTTAAATCAAGATAGATTATCTTGAGTCAAATAGTTTAAGGCATTGATGAAATAAAGAATGCAGTTCTGTAAATATCAGTAGGTTTATTTATATATTTATGCAAAAATATATGCTTCAGTGTTTTCTTGAAGGGCAGCTTTTTTGGTAGGTCTTTTTTTGTGTGTGTGTGTGTGTGTTTTTTTTGGCATCATCTTTGCTTTAGAAGTATATCATATAATTTTTATTTCCAAGAGGTTGAACTGAGTTAATAAAAATGAGTCCTTTCTGCTTGTGTCCAGATAACTTTTCAAAACAAAGTCTTATACAAGAAGAGGAAATTGGTGCTTTGAAAGCAACAATTGCACAACTTGATAAAGAAAAGGAAACTTTGCAAGACTGTGTCAAAGAAGGAAAAAAAATGATCGCTGCTCTTGAAGAAAGCCTGACAATTAAAGTACGTTCTAACATAGAAGTAACACATAAACAAGTTATGGCATTACAAAAAATCTCGACTCCTCTGGGTGTTGGGTTAAGCTAAACTAAATATGGTATTTTTTACCTTGTATAATTGTTAACGATCTGCATTGGTTTTAACAAAGTTACGTAAAGAAACCATTTTGCAGGGTTGGCCATAATCATCTTGACATTAGCATCAAGTTTGCATTTTTAAATTGTAAAGTGGTGGCCACTTTAGGGAAGAGATAGCTATATGTCCAATATTTCTTTTGTTGACAATGAAAGACATTTCTTTGTCTCTTTTTCTTTCAATATTTTTATCCAAAGACAGTGGAGAAAAGTGATACACTTTGTGCTAGCATCCTTATGAAAATATAATGATGAATTTTTTGTTTTATAAATTAAAAACTCATGGTTTATTCATTATAGAAAAGCCATAGTGACTTATCTGATAGAAGATACCATTTAGTTTTGGGACAGTGATCCAAATACTAGCTTTAGAACTACAAAGGATAAAGAAAATTTAATTTAGGAGGGTTATAATTTGGAAAAGTTACAGTACTTTTTCCTTTATTTGCCAAAGTAGATTATCAGAATTTTCAACTCCAAGTGTAATAAAGCTTGGAAAAGGGGAATCCTTTTTGCATTAAGTAGTTAAGCTGAAAAATAAAAGTTAACAGAAGGAAAATATATTTAGACATTTATATTTATTAACTGCAGATTTTTTTTTAAAAAAATGTTTCTTTTTTAAGGAAAAAAACATTTCAGATTTCAAGATTCTGATTTCCGAAATGGAGCGTTCTGCAAAGTAAGGCTAACATTTCAAGTACATTTAAAATTGTAATTAATTTATGACATCTATAAAAGTACTAACTCAAAAATTGAATCATAGAATGTGCTAATTATGTGCTAGAATGTGCTATTTTACTCTAAAATATTAAAATGTTAAAACTTTGTTTCCTTTTTTTGAAAACTTAACTGCTGGAAAAGCTGTCATTTGTATTAGGTTGGGCGATATTGTTGTACCTGAAATATTTATTATTTCCTGCATAGAAAATCTGCTGAAGCTCTCTGTATCTGTGAGCAAGATATCACCAGTTTGCACCGACAGCTAGAAGAAGCCAATGATGAACTTGCACAGAGTAAGAAGAACAGAGAATCACTAGCTCAGGAGAATGACAGGTTACAAGAGCATCTTTCTAATATTAAGCAGGAAAATCAGGTATATCTGTATTAAAAATAAACTTGCCTAAAAAGGAAAACTGTGTATTGTTCAAGTGATGCATAGAACATGTGGGCTGTCATGTGAAAATATACCTGCAATCTAGTTTTAATCTCATTTTTTCATACTCTGATTTACCTTATTTTTCAGCTCAATTGTATAAATAACTGTTTTTATGTAATGGTATTAATATTTATCTTGAGGATCAGCTAATTAATCTTTACATAAAAATCACTGTGGCAGTTATGTCTGCTACTTATATGAAAAGCACTGTAAAGAGGCAGAAGGTGTATGTGCCTGTCCCGGAGCATTTCCCAGCTTATAAATTTGACTCATTAGTAATTTTAACACCGTATGTATTTATGATGGCTCAAAAATTTATTGACAGGGTTGTGTTTACTTTCCTTTGAAGTTCCTGTTCGATAAAACAGAAGAACTATTTAATTATAACACAACAGCCATTATATAATATTTATCTGTTATTTATGTTATTAATGACAGTTGTTAAACTAAAACGCCACCGCATGCACATAGATTGCTTGTGCATCAGTGTGTTTTCAAGGCAGCTGGAACTTGAGTTTAGGACTTGTGATAGGTCATCACCCTATGATACTCTGATTCTTTTTTTTCCTTCTCTTCGTTCAACTTTTTTCCTAGATTTGTGATTTTTCTGATGCATTTTCTTTCGCCTTAACACTTGTTTCACTGTTTCTCCTTGAAAGTATTTTCCTCTCTCCTGCTTTTTCTCATCTTCTGGAATTACCTCCTGCTATTGAAGGAGCGGTTTCACCTTTATACAGTTTTAGCTATATAAAATTCTTAAGTCATTAAGGCTATATTTTTGAGTTAAGAAAAGTTCTCCAAATAGAAGTTCGTCCCATCCAGGTATTTGAAGTAGCTCATTCTACCTCTCTCTCTTCCTCCATTTGTTATAGAGGAAGCGTAACTAGTTTAGATCAGATGTCTGATTCTACATCACAAAAATTAGGTGCAACAACTCCTGTTCTCAGTAACTCTTCTCTCACACATATTAGTGTGTTTCCTCTAGAGCCCCTCCTTAAGTACTCCAGGGAGCTCCAGGTCTCTAGGATCTTTAGTTACTGAAGGTAGGTAGTATCTTTGCAGACATGAGTTGCTGAAGGAAATTACTTCAATGACTTACTCTTCTGAACCTTCTCTCCTAGAGCCCAGTTATTACTTGTGATCAGCAGGTTGCAAAACAACAGACTTGCGGCTTTGTTTATCCTGATTAAGATTATCTAGTTGTTATCTAGTTGTTGTCTAGCTGGTTATCTAGTTGTCCTCTGCTTTCTGAAGGCCGGATTTTTAAGAAGGACCTGTCTCTGAGTCCTGATCCTTGAAGGGGGCAGGCCATTCTCTCAGCCTAAATACATGAATACTAAATACATGATCCATCTTCTGGGTGAATACATTTTACCAAAGTGTTTTTCTTCTTTTTAAGAATACTAATATGTTCTAAAAAAGTGAATATTTTTCATAAATGCAAAATTTTGTTTGTAGACACATACATGATTTGGATTTCATTTAGCCCTTAAAAATCTAGCTAATAAAGCCATAAAATATGCACTAATGAGTTAATGGATTATGCATAAATTATGCACAAATTCAGCTTTTTATAAAGATACCAGCTGTGCTTTAACCCTCAAAACAAATCTTTCTTTACAGGTGCTATATAAAAAACTAGCAAAGTACCAAAATGAGCTTGATGATGTGAAGTTGAAAGTCCAGGATTCAAACAAAGATATTGTCAGGCTGAAGGGTATGCTGAAGTCTAAAGTGAGTATGTAGATCTAACATGTTAATAAAAGCTATTGTTTTAACAAAAATTGAAATTCTAACTATATTTTCATGGAAGATTTTGCTTCTTAACTGAAACTTATTTGAGTTCTGCAAGTAAAGAACACATTTTATCTGACTGTTTTTGCAAAGCACTAATGAAGTGTATTTCACAGATTTTTCTTTTTCTTTTTTTCTTTGTGCACATGTGTGTATTTGTTCTAAATTTTAAAAGTTAAGCATTTGGAAATGTTTCATCTTTTTTACCATGTGGCATCAATAATAAATAAAGTATTTCTGCAATATATTGCTATACCTTCCATTTTTATGTTAATTTAGCCATTTTTAACAGATGTCTTGAGCATCAAAATGTGACTGTCATGAATAAAACACTGATTCCTGAGAAGCCTTAGATATTGTATTAGATTTGCCATTTAGCCAGAATTTTTCAATAGAGAGAGATAAAATCTAATACAATCTCCTACCTACAGATCTATGAATATTCCAATTTAGTGAAGCTTATTAGGAATAATTAAACAAACAAACTTTATGTTTTAGGAGAGAGAGAACTGCGAGCTTTTGGAGAAATACCACAAAGCCTGTGAAGAAGGAGAAAGCTGGGAAACCAAATGCCATCAAGCAGAAGCCGATTGTAGCTCTGTTAGACTGGCGTTAATCAGTGCAGAATCTGAGAACCGCAGGTTGAAAGAAAGAATTGAGTCCCTTGAAATAGATATGGAACAAGTATGTTGAGATCATTATTTCCATAGGTCACACTAGAAATGGTCTGGTATATTTTAAGACTGCAACTGTTTAAAATTAGGTAGGCTTAAAACCACTTCTACTCATACTTTAGAGATAGTTGCTAAAATGCACTGTATGTAGTTTGTGTTGATAATATAAACTAGAATTCCACTAGTCACACTGGTAGGGGGAAAACACATACACAAAACCCCCAAACAAACCTTAAAAATAATACCATACTTAAAAAAAAAATAAAAAAGGTATTCTCTCATATTTGAAAGGAGTAGGAGGATCCTCTTCCTACTTGAAAATCTGAAGAAAGACAAGAGAAATGTACAGCATGACTTTGAAAATACGTGATAGATATAAAACTCATTTGAGGTTGTTACAGATTTTGCAGCAGATTGTATCTGCTGTCTGAATATTGTATATGTTGAGAATTAGCCATGCACATCAGATACTCAAGAACCAACATGCTGTTATTCAGAAAAGGGATGGAGACATAGCAGTAGCAAAGCAGCACAGGAAGATTTTATTGGAGTCCAATTGTCTTTTAGAGTCTAATAGAACTGGTACATAATTCTGTTTTGTCTAGGTAGAAGTCAGAAGTCTAGGTAGAGTTGTCAGGCACGTTTCTTGGAAGCAAAAGATTTTATTATATATTTTTTATAAAAAAAATGATATTGATATGGAGTTGGTATTGTACATGCTTAGCACTGCCCTGCACAATTTGTACTTTTTTATGGTATGAGTTTAGTTTCCAAAACTTTGAACATTGGTAACACAGAAAGCTGGAATTGAGAAGATGCTCCCTGCACGATCATTCCGTTTTGACCTTGCTCCTAAGAAATCCTTTAAGGAAGACACTGTGCTTTACCTCTCTCTTAGCTTTTGTCAGTCTTCCAGACTCATTCTGCCAACTGAAAATTAAGAGGTGCAGAGTAACCAGAAATGCAAGTCAGATGTTGCTGGAAAAGTTTAGGCAATTTTTGAAAAGCCTTTGTTAATATAAATATAGAAAAACCTAAATTCGTCTAGACAGAACTATTGCTGCTACTTTGTCAAGTTCTTTAGTGTGACTTCTGTCATCTCTTAATTATGCCTGATTTTATGTATGGCAGCAGTATAAGTATTACTGTCAGGATCTCTATATTCATTGCTTTTCTACATGCAAGAATTAATTTTATTGTTTGAATAAGAGAGTCTATTTTGAAACTAAAAAGGGAGCCATAAGCAGGGCCTTTGAACCTTATTAGACTCTGCAGAGAAAGCAGAATCCTAGGAAGGGAGATGGAAATATCAGAAGCTAATTTTGCTGTCAGAAGCAAAAATTCTTGTTTTCTAGTCATTTTTTTGTTTTTTGTTTTTTGTTTGGGAGTTATTTAAAGAAATAATTTTAAAGTTTAATTCATAATAATTACTTCTGTCTCTTCAAATTTACCACAGCTATATAGACTCTTTTAGGATATGAGGAACGGTTTTGTGTTTTCTTTGATGTACAATTTTAATTATGTGACAATGCTTGTTTACAGAATTTAACAACAGAAAAAGCATACAAGGCTCAGATTTCTACCTTGAAAATGACTCTTCTGAAAATGGAAGGAGAGCTTCAAAACTTACAGCGGGAGAAAGTCTCTATCCTTGCAGATCTCAAATCTACACAAGAACTTTGTATTAAATTGGATGCTGGCAAAGAACTATTAACCCAGGAGTTAACATCCAGAGCAGAGGAAGTAGAAAGGGTACGTGAAATATATTCTAGAAACAGTTCTATGTTGAAGATTATGCATGTGCACCCATAAGGAAGAACTGCCTTTTCAATGGAACGTACTAGTTTTATACGTAATCTTTTTCACATCCCTCAAGAAATATGATTGTTTAACCTTTGTTTTAGAATTTATTCACTGTGAGACTAGTGAGAATTTTCTGTCTTACTGTCTTTTTTCTTGGTGCTCCTTTAAATAAAATAAATATAATATTACCCTGTTGGAGATATAAGTATTGGTTTGTTAGATCAGGTTTCATTTTCTAAGCAACTGGTTAAGCAACCATTTCTCGCATCAGTGAAATGCAATGTTTCCCTCTTCCTCTCTGATAACTCTGTTTTTCACATAAAGTATCTGTGTCTATTGATTCTTGTGTTTCATAGCAGTTTGTAGCAAGTATACTTATAATCATATACATAACTTGGATAAATTAATAAAGCTGATTTTAATTGAGGTCAAATATAACAATGACCAACCATCTAAACATGAGAACAATTTTGGGTCTTTGATCCCAGCCTTTTCTTTAAGGTTACCATGACAAATGGCTGGAAGGCTTAATAGGCGTACATCTAAAAGTTTAAAATTTTTGTTTAGCTGCAGAATGATTGTGAGTCATCCCATTCTGAAATAGAGCTCCTCAGGAAACAACTGACAAATGAAAGAGCATCTCTGAAAAACCTGGAATCTTTGCTTGTGTCCAGTCGAGAGAAAGAATTGCAATCACAGATAGCAGAGCAAGAAAGAGACACTGAAATTCAGCTTCTCAAGGAACAGCTTGTTTTAGCAGAGAATAAGCTGTGAGTAAATGACCAATAGAATACTGAAGTTTTTTGAGCTGAATTTTTTTTTCTTTCTTCCGGTATATGTATACGCATAGATGGTCCATATCGAGATGCATTTGCAACTGGTCAGGTTATCTTGGTTATCTTAATAGCAGAAGATTCTAAAAATCTGGTGCTGATTCCTCAGCTACACCATAAAGGCTTTTCCATGGAGAAAAATACATGGGATACTTTACTATGGAGTATATCTTACTCCATAAAATGTTCTTAACATAATTTGCATTCACAGTATACTGCCCTTTTAATTTTGGATAATTTTATTTGGTAACATAGTAAGAGGTTTGTGATTGCTACCTAATTATTATATGGACTTCACAGTGCTGTGCAAAGTCGAGATTTTACTCAGCTCAGAAATACAACAGCTCAGCTAGAGTCAGAACTTGATATCACCAAAAGACAACTGGGAACTGAGCGCTTTGAAAGGCAAGTACATGCTTTTCTATCACACTTCCTGTATCTCATTTGGATGAAATGCAATACTAGTATTAAGATTTAAACTATTTAAAAGGATAAACAGCACACTCCTGAACAGGTTAGAGAATCGGGGTTCTTGCTTGTAGTAAATTACTTTGTTGATGTTCTGTTCTCTTATAAGCAAAAATGAATATTTTGAAGGGTGACATACACCTGAGGTCAAGCCTTTTAAAGATTAATTCCTTAAAGATTACAGTATGTTTTGATTTCAAAGTGTCCTACTTTACTCTGAAGTTATAGCAAATTTGTCAAACTTTTGAGTTAGATTTGCAAGTAACTTTAAAAGTAACAGCATTTTTTGCTTCTTCAGATGTATAAAATATGCCAGACTGTATGCAAATACAAGTGCGGGTCCGGTATCAAGAAATAGGGGCTAAAAGCTCATGGCCAATAGCAATCTTATTGGGTTACTACCTCATTTATAAGCAAACAACGCGATACATGTGTCTTACGTGCGCCCTGATAGCCAATCCAGCCTCATCTGAGGCTTGCATAAGTTGGGATATCTAATCACAGAAAAGGTCAGCTTTAACGTGGTCTTGTGTCTAGTCAGTAAGCCGCATCCAGCCGGAGCTGGGTTTGGTTGGTTCTTGTTTTTGCCAGTTGGTACCTTTTGCCCTTTTGCCCTCTCCCCTACATACAAGAGCACTTTTGTTTTGAAATAAATTTGGTCTTCAAACTGTGTTTCTCTACTCCTGCTTTGTGAGTACATCCATCTTAGGGTATATAGATTCTTCCAGACAGGGACTGAAAGTGGTTCTCCCTCAAGTGTTCATCAGCCAAAAAGTTGACACACTGTACACACTTAATCTCTTCACCTAGTTAGGGAGCATGAGTAGCTTTCTGTCTTTTATGGAAAATACAGGTAATGGATACGCCGAGGAAGACCTGGATAGGAATGATACAGAAAGAGTCATGATAAGCACCTCATATCTTATTTTTTTGATCATCTTTTATTTTTGATAGTGAGCAGGAGATCATTTTTACGAAGTGTTTAGCCTCACTCTAAAATATTTTTTATTTAGGGAACGTGCTGTACAGGAGCTTCGACTCCAGAATCTTACAACATCCTATCAGTTTAGCTCCACATTAAGAGCATCATCACCTGAACGTTGCCACCATCGATCTCCTGACTGGTCTCTGGACCGATCCGTAGAAGGGTACGTAGTTCAACAACTCAGTTCTTAACACAGAAGAAAAATAGACAGATGAAATCTGATAATTTCAACAGGAAATTAAATTGGACTTGAAAACTTGGAAAATTTAAAGAGATTCAGAACTGCAATCTTTTCATGATATTCCTTGTGTTTTATTTTATTTAGCTACATCAGAATTATGTAGTTAATAGCAACTACATGTACTGGAACTGCTGTAGCCGTAATACCTTCTAACAACCATAATGTCTCGGAGAATTCCAACTTTACTTACCACCTTTTTGTCCAATTTTTGGTATACATATTTAGATTACTCCTACAGAAAAGTTCATAGCTATCCAGCTGTTTTTTCTTGTAGTAATTTTCAAAATGTTTTTTGCTTCAAAATGTTTTTTTTTCTTTAAATATGTATATATCTGCATATTAGCATATTTCTACTGAAAACATAAATGTGTCCTGTACATCATCAAACACATGTAACCCTTAGGATGAACAAGCCCAGCAGTCTTCCTTTTCGGACAGCAAAATGGAGCCTTCACAACATGCTTCCTGGCAGTTTAAATCTTAACTGTTTTTTTTATTATTATTATTTAAAATAATTCAGATTGAGAGGGAAAAAATCTCAATTCATGGCTTCCAGGAAATCTTCTCTGCTTATGAGATGATGATGTTTTCTGAGATGAATTTCGTTAATACTGTGCTGAAGATTTTGAACTTGGGCACTTCATTCATCTCCGTTATCAAAGGCATCTCTAAGTACATAGGTCCCATGACTGCTGTGCAACTCTCCCTGGGTCAGAAGCTGGGGCCAGAATGGGAAAAATAAACCATTGTAAAATAAGTGGCCCGGTGAGTAAGGGGGAAGAAACTAAATGCAAATATTTGATGGGTATATTCATGAGCACAACAGCAGAATTACTTAAGGTGTTCAGATAGATGTTAGGATTTAATGGAACATATTCTAGCTGTAAGCTCCTGTTGGTTTTAAAGTAGAATTATATTAGAAATAGATTTCTAGGAGGTAAAGTTCTATCTATCAGTGGATTGAGGATAGTTTGTCAGTATAACTTGATTGTAACTTGAAAGTAACTTAATGAGAGAGACTGTAAAAATAAGTGCATATTCATAGAGAGACTTCTCAACAGCTAACATCAGATTCGACAGTTCATAAATACACCAAGACAGCAATGCTGGTGTCACCACTGATACACTAAGTCCAATACAGTGTGCTGCTGCTGTTTCACCAGATAGGCTGTTATGGGAGATCAGTCAAGTTATTTGTTTATTGTATAAAGATTGTGATAATCAGAAATAAATTTGACAATAGATTTTCTTATTCTCCCATTTTTTGTCTTTACTGCACAAGACTCCATGTTTCACTACAGTGAAAAGCATGCGCCTTGTCATGCACACCTGGTAGGAAAGACCTTTTTTATCTGATTTTCATAAGGGATAGCATGCAATAAAAATTATTCCTACAGAGCATCTGATTGACTACGGAAGTGTCTAGGAAGCCTGCTGAGAGTGCCTTCAAAAATAAAACCTTGGGTTTTTTTGCATGTAGAAACATTAGAATGTATTTCTATATTCACTAAATGAGAAGCGCCTAACTTTCCTTCTTTCTTTTTCCCTAGGGATTCTTCTTTCAAAGACTTTTGATATTATATTCCTGATGGCTTATGAAGACCATACACATCATCTGGAGTTTTAGAGTTCAAATATAATTCTGGGCTTGTCATTCTTTCCCGTTTTGATGATACATTTCATTAAATATATTTCATGACTTGCTGGACAATTTTTCAGACAATGTTGTTCAGTGGAAAGAAATCTGTCTAGATAATTTCTCTGCTCAATCTTTTATTACTGGGGGATATGACCCATCTCAGGTAACAGGAAAAAAAAACGCAAGTTTCACGAACTGTACTGATAGTATGTGACTGTTCCATTATTAAAAATGTATTGATATAACTGGAATAAAGGAATGGATATAACAGTATCAGGGAAAAGAAGTGTCTATATGCAGATGTTATGATCTAAATATATTTTTGCTGGATTACATGAGGATTATGCTTGAGAGAAGATGTTATACTGTCCAATGAAGGCAGGGATTATTTTGTTCTTCAAAACCTCTCATACTTCTCAGTTTGACCAAAAATGGATACTAAAGCCAGGGGATATCAGAGTGTTTTGGTACCCATCTATGTTATGTTATGATGTGGTATGTTTTTGCGTGTTTCCAGTATACATGTTTGAGAGGTATTTAACTTCTAAGAATTGTATTACTTTTTTTTTTAACAGAAAAATAATTTTATTTACAACAATTTTATTACAACTGCACTAGCTTTCTACTTTTTTTTAAATATAAAAGAGTACTACTTGTATGATAACAAATACTGATATTTTAACTTGCTCAGAATTTCTGCTCTCTAGGTCATAATATTTATCAATGTTACACATTTTTGCACCTTAAATGCAGGAGAAGATATAGCTTTCTCTCTTGCTATAAATCTTCTGGGAAGTCTCTTCTGTACTTGGAGACAGCAAAATAATTAAATGATTTCTGTTTAATTCAGTACATTATTCACTTTTTTAATAGATTCATCCTTGTGCCTTTCTTCATGAAACCTTGCATGTGTTGCATACCCATTCTGTTTATGATAACCTGACTACTGAGCATTCAGATTCCTAACTCAAATAATGAATGAAGATACCAGAATGTGTACAAATGCTGCTTGCCTCCTTTTAAAACCCACTGGTGTGAAGTATAGTTATGATTCTGTGTTGCTTTCAGGAACAGATCACCTTAAGAAGTCCTTAAGGTTATTTTAATAAATAAAACCCCCTCCAAAATGATAAAATATAAATATATACTGGTAACAAATTCTAGAATTAGCTTTCCAAAACAACATAGTAGTAGCCTTAGGATTTGAAGTGTTTGTCCATTGAGAATTGCACAAGCTACTCTTTTAAGAGTATATTCTAAAAACCTTAAAGACCATTGCTGAATAGGAAACTTTTCTTCCTCCTTGAAGTACAAAATAGAAAATGAGCTCAAGTAGCATATTTATAGCTCTCTACTTCTGATTGGAGGCCCTCTAATTTTTAATAACACTTTTTTTTTTTCCCTAAAGCAGGAAGTCCTATTGACTATGCATTGAAACGCATTACAGTCTTTTGGAGCAGCATCTATTTCCTTGCAATGTGGGTTACTGGTGGTAGAATATTTTTCTTTTTGCTTTATTACATAATTTTGTTTGAAAATAAACATATACCTCCCCCATTAACATCATTCATGTTTGCATTTGTGATGCTTATGGACAATACAAAATAATATTCTACTGTATTTAAAATTTATTTTTATATGTTTTTAAATTATCTCTTTATTCACAGTAATATTTGTTACATGTGCAAACCTAAGAATAATGACTTGTGATTTTCTTGTGAAATAAGAGTGTATTAAACTAAATTTCAGCTATTTTGTAAATTTTGTAAAATCTGTTTTGCATAACAAAGAATGCTATGAAATTTTAAAAAGCATCCTTCCTTTTCTGTAGCAATATTTTAATCACTTTTAGCCACTGGTTATGGATTTATGGATTTATTTCAACTGATTTTGCTGACTCAAAGTAGTGGAGACTATCACCATTAACCAATGTAAAGTATTTTACTTGAGCACACATCCTGGTTCCCAGGATTTGTAGAACAAAGAGCACAGTGCCTCTGGTATCTTCCCTTCTTTTTCTTTAGCCCAGAAGAAATAGGAGCTACTATTTATACAGAAGACTGTCTCCACTACTGGTGGTGGAGATACAGTTGTACTAATGAGGAAGAACTCATTAAGTATTTCTGGGTAAAACTGTTTCAGAGCTTTTCAACAGCATTTGGAACTGTTTATCTGTGCTTTTACCCTGCTGTTTCCACTCGAAACCATTCTTTGCCCTTTCAGTCACTAATAAAGCTTGATCTTTAGAAACATGTAATCAGTTAAACTTCTGCTGCCAGTGCTAAGCCAAGTGTTTTTAGCCTTTATCTGTCTTTCACATTACCAGATCTGAAATGATAAAACACATCGAAAGCTAGTATATAAGGAATGTTTAACCTGTCAGTTTTCACTGTTTCCATACGTCTTAGTGATTTCAGTAAGACCGAAGTATACAAATAATTTTGTGCAAGGAACACGTGTTGTGTTGCTGATAGTGGTTGCATTATCGCTGGATTGTAATCCCTTAATAAAAGAAGCAGGAGTTTGTTCCATGCAGCTTGGGCTTCTTTTGCAACTCATCTTTCCTCGGATCCAGTGGATCTTCTCATTCATATCCAGCAGAGGGAGTGTACAAAATGAAAATGAATGAATTATAGCTGTTGTGGTATGAACATAATGCAGTTACCTGAACGTGTGGGAAGATGGAAAGATATATCACAAGTGGTTTCAAGTTTTGGACACTTTCCAAACAAAAGAAAAGCATCTTGGTAAGTTGGATAAAATGTTTATGTGACTTTGCTTGACTAGATTGAAACATATATCCTCATTTCATGACAGGGATCAGATCTGTTTTATTAATGGATTTTTGAAGAAAAAGTTTATTTTATGCTGAAACGTTATGTATAAGAGACAGCCTGAAATAATGTTTCCTTCCAGCAGGCATTTTTTTTTTCACTAGGTAGAGAAATCCAAGCTTACTTTCAAGTCTTCTAACTTGTATGTCTCATCTGTATTATTTTCAGAGTTGTTTTTTCTTTTCCCTGAGGTGGGGAAAGAACAAACATTTTTTTTTATCTTGAATGCAGCCTACACCCAGGCAATTATGTAGAGTACACAAAGCAGAAAACGTTGTTGCCAGAGCTGCAGCTTCTCAGGTTTGCTTCAGCCACCTCCTCTGCTGCCGGGTGAGTGACGACGAGATCCGCAGAAGGCAGCAAAATAAACACAACACGAGACGAATGGAAGCGGTAAGAGTTTCCAGCACCACTGCTCTTCTCTGTTCTGCGGTAAAACTGTACTTGTTAGTTAATTCAGGTTGCATCTGAATTCTAACACTCGGAATATAACATCAAGAAATGACCATTTTTACATTCTTGTTACGACTAATGGAAAGTAGCCTTGCATTCTTGCTGAGTATTTCATTATGCTCTTTATGGTACTGTACTTTAATTTTATTTTTCCAGCAGGCACATTAGGATAAAAGAGGATAAGCAGGAAAGTAGGAGCTTTTTAACAAACAAAACAAAAAAAAAAACTACCTGTCAGAAGTGCATCCATGTTTTAAAAACAATGCTTCTTAGAAATAAACTCTGTAATTTATTTTCTGGCCTGCAGCAACTACTCTAGAAATAATGTTGAAATGATTCTTATTTTAAGACTGAATGTACACTTTTTTTTTTTCCAATTTCCGCTCCCTTTATTGCTGCAATAAGACATATAAAGCAAGCCCTATGGCATTCTCCCTTCAAAAACTCAATCTGGCGGTTATGTGTTTTTCTTCATTACCTAATATGGCAAGGTTCAAATCCTTTAACTGCTGGGCTTTCTTCCTGACAACTTCTACCTGCCGCGTTCACCAGTTTTTCCAAGTCCAAACTGGGCTGCCAGGGCCAGACAAAAACGTTCTGCCCGCCCCTGCTGCCCCGCGGCCGCCTGCCCTTCTCCAC